TTCTGTATTACAAGAAAGCAAGGGGATTTGCCCTTCAACTTGTTTTAGCACAGCCACTCTGATGACAGAACAGGACTCCTGGCTACTGTTCCTTTTCACAGGGAATGAAGTAGCATAATAGGTATCACAAGCAGGTTTTATTGCTTGTTTACACAAGTAAGGATCTACAGTCAGAGTTTGCTGTTCCAGATTTTTACTGATTCAATTACTCAAAGATTTGGAAGTGTAGGAGAATACCTGATAAATGGGTACACATTCCTTTTTATGTTCAAACATAGAGGTCTTCTAGACAAAAGTGCAGTTGTGATAGTTGAGCAAGATGAACCCGCTGTTCATCATACGATGCTGACAAGTGGTCTGAGGGTTTTCTCTTTTTTTATGAATAATTTTTATTAAAAGAAAAAATTACAAAGTTTTTTAAAACTACAGAAACGTATAAGAAGAAAAAGAAAAAGATTATAAAAGGGTAAAAGAAAAAGTGAAGAATAACAAAAAAGCAAGAAAAAGAAAGATATCTAAAGGAGCTACTTCCGATCTTCTTTGCAGCAGTCACAAACACAGTAATTACCATCTCCACTCTTCCATATTGCATATCATAGTTCCCTTCTTCCCATAAACAAACCTTTTTAATCAATGAATCACAAAATCAGCAGTTCATTTTTATCCATTTTCAGGAAAAAGTCTGTAAAGGTTTTCCAGACTTTTATAAAAGTAGTCGTAGTTTCCTCCTTAATCAAACAAGTCAATTTAGCCATTTCTGCAAACTCAGCCATCTTCATAATCCATTCCTCCATTATTGGTGTTTCTGTAGTCTTCGGTCTTTGTGCATATAATAGCCTTGCTGCAGTTACCGCATATAAAACCAATCATCCATGAGCCTTTTCTAGCTGAGTGTCCATAAGCCCTAGTAAGAAATGTTCCGGTTTCATCTGAATGCTAATCCCAAGTCCACCATGCATGATAAAAAGTCCCTTCATATTTTTCACATTTCCAACAGTGATTAGAAGTACCTTTATACATCTTAGACAATTTCTCTGGTGTCATATATGAACAATACATCATTTTAAAAAAGTGAAATTTAAATTGTTAAGACAATGTGAATTTCAGACCTTTTCACCATAGTCTCTTTCATTGATCCATTTGAATTTTGTAACCAAAATTCTTGGCCCATTTTAGCATACATTCTTTAATTTGTTCTTCCTCTGTTTCAAATCATGAATCTGAGGGTTTTCAATGCATTGATGTATATTTTTAACAAGCAACTTTCCCTCAAACTGCTTTTGGAAATTTATTTATTTACTGCAAAACAGTGGTCAAATTTTCACAAACACATGGAACACTAGAGAGGGAGAATTCTAGCCATTTAGTATCTTTTGTGTATTTGTGTGTGAAATGAGGGAATGAATCTTTCAGACCTGGAAGAATTGGGGGCGGGGGGGCGGGGGACAGACAAGAGAAGGAATTCAGTTATTGGACAATTTGAAATTACATCAAGCAAGCAGTGATTAGCTAAAACCTGCATGTCCTTACTTATTGGTCAGAAAGGACAACCACTAACTGAGCATTCAGTTATCTGAGTTCTATACTCCCAAACATCCAGATATGGTTATGTTTACAGTGGCATCCACAGCAAACCACAGTGACACCAAAATAACATGTGGCATCATCACACAAGGACCACCCACACGTACGTGCATCCTGACATCTGACCCAAGTACATAAGATGTGGCATTTGCATGACAATGTTGTGATACACATTTCATCATTTGCCCCCCTTTTCTCCAACAGATTTTTATGCATGTTCATAGCATTTTGATGCTATGATGTCCAAATAAATTTGCAAAACCACCTGGATCAGCCTTTAACTGGATTAAGAAGGGGTAAGAGATGGAAAGGCTGATAATTTGGAAGTCCCTGTAGTTTCTAATTAAAGTGAATTGCAAGGAATTTCTTTCACATTATACCCAGAGGAAGAAAAGAAAATTAGCAACAACACAGTAATTTCAGTACATTGTGTAGAGATATTTCAGGTGTTTATTGAATTGTAGAAATGGTTACACATACAGTTATATCAGCACAATGATGTTTAGATTACTTTAGAAGACAGCTGGAACAGCTAATGACGAATTTAAGCTGCCTCCATGGTGGTTTGGGGATGAGCCAAGACTGCTTCATGAGGACATAGCTGGGTGTCTTTGTGCCATAGTTAGCAGGAACTGAGGATGAGCCCTGTGACTCATTTAGCCATAGTCCATCTCACTACAACACACTGATCTATGTTGTAGTTGATAGGGAAAGTGAGGGCTATTAAAAATTAGCAAATTAGCACCTCTCCTGTAGAAAGGTAGCAGTTTCCTCCACTGAAAGTTGTACAGTGAATAGTGCTGAGTTCAGTTAGCACAGAAATGCTGAAAGATAATTCAGTTTCAAGCAGCTTATTCCTTAGCAGCCTTCCCTATACATGATGCTCTCCAGATCTGTTGGGCAACAATCCCACCATAAGATTATGGGAATTGTTGTATAATATACATAGGGAGTGTCAGTTTGGAGAAGACTGCTATGTAGAAATAATCTATTTGTACAATGCCTTAGGAAAGTTTGAGAATATATTTTAAAGTACTCTGAGGTTGTCTAGCCTAACACTGCCTCCAGTTAACTGTCTTTACTGGGGGTGGTGATGAGGAACTATGCAATGTAACAGTATTTTGAGCATACTTTTCTTATTTTATCAGGCGAAATCAGAACTACATGAGTATTCTTCGCTTTATGTCCCTGGGAGACAAGAATTTGAGTCCATTTAACATCACTCATCGTTTTACTCATCTCTTCTGGCTGGGAGATCTGAATTACCGCTTAGAGTTATCCCCAACGGTTGGAGAACCATTTTAATTCCCTGTTGTTGATGATACTTAGCATTTATGTGAAGTCCACTTAAAATGTTCAGAATATTTACATTTACATCACTTGCATTTTTTTGATCATCTTTATAATTGATCTGCATTAATTTCTCAGATTTTGCAAATAAAAATCTGAGACTGAGGAAGTTCATAGCCAAAATGAGATTTGAACTGGAACCTTCTTTGCTCACAAAATACTCTTATGAATTGTACAGGAATGCATACTTTTCAATGGGAATGCAAGCCCCATTACTAAAATATTCCTACTTTGTTTTACACATATGTAAAATCTTCCCTGCACAGTACTTAGGAAACATCAGTTCCGGTTATCAGCAGAAATTAAATGTGCACTATATTAACTGACAAGCTTTTATATAAATCCTGAGGCCTCATGATTTCATGCTCTCCTAAATTTTCAAGTGTAAAAACAGTGGAAAGTTCCTTGGTGCAGAAATCCATATGTTTATCCAGCCTCTGTTTGGGCATATCCAATGAAGGAGTGTCCACTACCTCCCTACATGGCACTCACTTCAAAAGATATATACATATACAGGGACAGTGTCCTATCAATTCAAAAGATGAAATTGTCCCCAAGCTCTTGTTGCTGTTGCTGCTGCTGCTGCTGCTGCTGTTGTTGTTGTTGTTGTTATTATTATTATTATCAAAATTTATATGTCGCCCAACTCCCAGTGACTTTGGGAGGTTTACAATTTGTTAAAAACATTTAAAAACAAAACAACCACCACAACAACACCAAAAGAATAAAAATGGCAGGAATGACATAACTGGATAGGAACAAAGAAAAAAAAGGGGGCTTCAATCACCCTCACCCAAGGTGAATTGAAAACATGAGAGAGCAAATGTTGACTTTAGCAACAAGTCTGCAACCGATTCATTCCATCCCCCAGAGACAATAAAACCTTGACCCATCTTCTTTTGTTGGGATTTTCAGTGGTTAATATAAATGAAACAGATTGTTCAGAAGAAAAGTTCACTAGAAAATGTTGATTTATTGAACTGCTTGCACAGTTCATGTCAGTGAGGATTCATACTGTATTGCTCTTTCCATTAATGAAAATCCATCCCCACCCCCAAATTGTGGAGTAATTCTGAGCAACAGAACCTCCCAGTTTTTTTCTTCTTCTTGGTGTTACAGTAGTGTTCACTCTAATTTAGCAGTGACATGGGATTCTGTCCCTATATATTATATGTCAAGGGCAGAAGATAAATAATAGCTTCATAAGGGGAGGGGGGAATCCCCTATATCCCCTATATACATTTTTTTTTCTAAAAAGAAGGGAGGCATGTGTGTTTATCTGCTGCAACGAAGCACATAGACTCACCACAAAACTCAGTTAAAAAATAAGATGCAAAATCACTTACAAAATATTAAAGCTGTCCACTGGAAAGAAATAGGCAGACTTGCCTTTTTTGTTCTAGCTATAGCAAGCAAATACTGTGCATCCTACAGGATCCTATTCTTTAGGAAGATAAATAGAACAAACGATTGTTAGGAATATGAGTTTGGATGTGTGTACAGAGGAGAAGGGATATATCTATGCATTTATAGGTATATGGGAACCAATGCCGAATAATTGGAAAAAATAACACTGAAAAATTAAAAGATATTAAAAGAGCAGAATAGAAAAAAATAATGGAATAATTAGGAAACCAAATATTTATTATGGAATGCTATATATATCCATTTGATTTAATGCTATTTGTTCCTGGCTGTTTGTAAGATTGAAACCTCAGAGTTTGTAAAAGGGGCTTACTTTCAAATAAGAACACAGCATTACAGTCTTAATGTGTCAGAAGGTCTAGCTATCTCAAGATGCTTTGCATCTAGTTCTGTTTATAAAATGAGAATTTCTGCTTTTTCATTACATTATTCTGGATGTATACATTCCAATGTAATAATATAACAATTTTGGTACAATTTTGACAAAAGTTAGATGCAAAATGTATGTAGGACAGGAAATCAGTGATGGAATCTCTTATGGTTTTAGTTATAAGCAGATACAGAGAAGTTCAGTAGAGATCAAGGCCATGGTGTTTTGAAACAGGTTTTTTAAAAAACCTTTTCCCTTCATTTTGTTCTAATGTTCTCTTAACTGTAAATTGGTTTAGTGCCTTCAAAGGAAAGAAATAAAGGCAAGTGTATTTCCCCACAGCATTAAACAGCACTAAAACATTTTTAAGAATAAAAGTGTTAAGAGTTAATCACATATGAAATTTTGACCCTGAACTTACTTTTGTACTTAGATCAATTATATATGTGAGCATTTATTAAACAAAACAAATAAGAGATATGGGTGTATCTGTTAATTATAACACTTCCCCTCTTCTCAGGAAGCAGAAAATATCATTCAGAAAATCAAACAGCAGCAGTATACAGAACTGCTTAATTTTGACCAGCTACTCATTGAAAAGAAGGATCAAAAGGTGTTTCTGCAATTTGGTAAGATTGTTACTTGGTTCGGTCCTTAAGCCTAAAATCAAATACCCTGAAAAACAAGCTGATAAGAGAATGATAATTGAAGGACAAATTGATCCATTGTTGTCAGAGTAATTGCTTGATATAGAAACTATCATCCTGTGGTATAACTTCACATATATCTGACTGATTTGTGATTCACACTAAGCCATAGTTTCCTTCCTTAACCAAATTAGACGAATCATTACAGAAACGTAAACCAAATTATGGTGTTATGTGATGTATGAATTCAATCTTTCTGCCTCTCTCATTCTCTCTCCTTCCCCATGCAATGGCATAAAGAAAATTGCTCCACACAAATAACTAAACCATGTGCTAAAAACTACTATAGGAGATGATTACAATGATCTGCATAAAGTTGCTGTAGTGCACTGTCAGGTTTTTGATTTTCAGTTAGGTTAAAACAATAATCAGCCATCTGTCTGTTTCAGAGGAGGAAGAAATAACATTTGCCCCAACCTATCGCTTTGAAAGAAACACCAGGGAGAATTATGTCTACACCAAGCAGAAAGCAACAGGGGTATGCCATAACTTCTAGCATATTGTAGCATTTCAATTGATAACTGTTGCCAGCTCCGTTTCTCTTTTGATAGACATTGCAATGAAGAAAATAAAATCAATGGCTTTTTGGCAACCTTCTGACAGAGTGATGTGTTCTTGATATTGAATCGTCTTTTGTTTGCAGATGAAGTACAATTTGCCATCCTGGTGTGATCGAGTGCTCTGGAAATCATATCCCTTGGTGCATGTGGTGTGCCAGTCTTATGGTGGGTAGATAACAGATTGAAAATAGCAGCCAAGCTGGCTTAAGCGGAAATGATTCAGAGCAGAATCTGTAGAATTGCCTTTAACTGCCAAGTTCTCCACAAGAGACATCCTATCCTTGAGAAGTGCTTTCTCCTTAAACTAAGATATGTGGGGGGAAGAGAATGGGCTGTGAATAATTGTGAGAGAAATACACCTTGCAAGTCTTAGAATGTCTTCTTCCCCCACTGTTGCTAAGCCAGAAAAGGATCTCAGTTGTAGCAATTATTTCTAGGATATTCTGTTTCCCTCAGTTAAAAATTGTGAAGTAGCTGAGGTCTGATGTCCAAAACAAATCACATACAAAGCACAGTTAATGGCTCTGTGTGTGTGTGTGTGCGCGCGCACGTGCATGTGTAATTATTTCTGGGGGAATTATGGTTCCTGGCCAGATCCCAAATTAGGATGTTTATAGCCTGTTCTTCATGAACTCTTCATAATACATTTAAAAATACATAAAATCACAATTAAAATAGTAGAACAGTAACATGAAATGCCAGTGTAAAACAAAATTCTTACATTAGGAAGAGAACAAATTAATTTAAGCCTAGCACTGAAAGAAGAACAAAGTCAGCTCTAGGAAGATAATGCCAAAGAGCAGATGCTGTACCTTTGATTCTTTTCAGCAAGTGGGAGAATCCAAGGAAGGCTGATACATGAAAGGGTTCATGTTGGAGCAGTTTTTCGGGTAACCTAGTCCCAGATCGCTGAGAGACATGTCTTGGGAGTTGTGTGCTGGCTATTGAGTTCTTTCTGTATGCAACTCACTTGAAAATAGAAGTTTTGTTCTCTTAAGGATCAGTTAGACCAAGTAATTATTTTATTCGCTCCTCCCTTAGAAAGTTAAGAACAGAGACCCTTAACTGTCTTTCCTATCTTAGGATGCACAACTGACATTATGACAAGTGATCATAGTCCTGTTTTTGCTACATTTGAAGTTGCTGTCACATCTCAGTTTGTCTCTAAGAATGGTGAGCATTTTTTCCCTTTCTAAGTAAAGATGCAAAACTTTACACCATTGTTCAAATGTCTTTAACCATCTTGTGGAACACTATCATTGCCAACCTTAACACGTGTCCTCTTTTCCCCAGATGATAAGTACACAGACTCTCTGGGACAGATTGAATTCCTCCATTGCAGTGCTGTCCTCAAGACAAAGTCACAGACAAAATTCTACATTGAATTTTACTCCAGCTGCCTAGAAAGTAAGTACTGTTGCTCATGCTGTTGCTGTTATGTTATTTAGAAACTGCATTGGAGGGATTAATGGGAGAAGTAAGGCTGTTTTTAGATAATATCCCATTCACTGCTTTGCAAAATATTTATATTAAATATGAAATAACAAGCCACTCCACAGTGAGATGAGTGGTGACAAATTTGAAATATAAATAAATATAAATAAATAAATTCTTAAAAGCTTCTTAATATATCCAGTCTATATTATCATTTGAAAGGCAAGAATCTTTGATGCAGAAAATCTCTGGTCTTCATTGGTGGTTTTGGCCAACTTTCTTTGTTGTTTTCACCTGACATTTTGTAAAAAGTACTTTTTTTACAAGCACTTTTATATTTCCAGACCCGAATGCTCACATATTTTCCCCAAAAAGGATATTATAATACAACTTTGCCAGGGACCCACCAATGAAAGATATAATATAAATACCTGAACATGTGATGTACGAACATATATGTATACCCACACAAGCATATACACACACACTGCAATTGTATACATTTCTGTTCAGAAGAAGCTGTCATTCATATTAGTGGGACTTCTCCTAGGGACAAGGTGCAAGCCTCAGCTGTATATGATATAAATGCAAAAAGTTGACCCTAGTCACAGATCCCTGGCTTTTGAGTGTATCTCTAGCCTATTTATATCACTTTTCTTCCATATTAGAATAGGTGGACCTTCTAGAAGCCCCTTTCCTATTCATACATTGACCAGACCTCAGTGTCCTCCAGTTTCTGCATTAGATTTCAGATTAACTTGTCCTGGAACATCTTCTGCAGAATTGTTGTGAAAGTAACACATAAAAAGCCATGTGTACTGGCCCGAGCTTTGAGGGAAAATGATTCATTTTAAATGGTTACTACTTCATATTTTTTCATAAGTTATATTACATATATTTACAGTGGCTATAAAAATCACTGTTTATAAGTATCTTTTCTGTCTTTGGAATTCAAATTAAAGGGCTGAAGCTTAATGTCATTATAAATTTGCAGCCTAAAAATAGTTGTGATTTTGCAAGATCAAGATATGTACACACAAGGATCAAATTATTGCTGCGGAATAACTCTGTGAATATAAATATACATTGGTACTTAAGATTATATTTCTGAATTCCTAAATCTGAGCAATTTGTGTCATGAAACAATATATGTCCAGGACGGGTTATTTACTGTATGTTGTGCTTTGTCAAAGGGCCAAACCAGATGGGGGGGGGGGGGAAACTTACTCTCTGTTGCCCTTTTCCTTTTTTTTATTTGTTATATACCTCTTTTACC